GGTTTCTGACATGGTGGGTGGTGGTGGTGGGGACCTTAGGCCCAGGGAAAAGTCTAGGAGGAGGGCAGGAGACAAAAGACAGCCAGATAAAGGGGTGGCTGAAGAAGAAAGCAAATGGATAGAGACGCAGATGGCAAGGGTCAGAAAGGTCAGGGGGCTTTCAGGCCTTCAGGAGAGAAAGACTGGCCAGGGGATGGATGGGCTGACAGAGGGCAGGGGACAGAGAAACAGAGTCCAGGTGGACAGTTGAGCGGGTGCTAGGGGCAGATAGGCCAGGGGGGTGGAGGAGGACTTGAGAGAAGCACCGCGATCAGCAAGCAGAGGCTAGGGAGCCAGACAGACCCAGGCCCGGGTCCAGGCCAACAGTACAGAGGAGGTGGTTGGAGCGGGACAGGCAGAGGCTGGCCAGAAAGAAGGTGGTGGAGGCAGTATATAGTCCTATCTAGGAGCTGGCCAGCCAGGGTCCAGAGGGGCTCTGGCAGGCCCCACAGTCTGGCACCCTGGGAGGGTGGGACTGAGAGCTCAGGGGAGAGTGAGGAGAGGGCCAGACCAAAGGAGGAGGTCTGAGATGGGGACAGGGCCAGTGGTGGGGGATCTGGAGATAGCCCCTCTGCCATCAGGGCACTCGTTGGCCCAGGACCTTCCCCTTTCCTTGACTGGGTCCTGGACTCTCAACTCCTGTGCACACGCCCTCCTTCTGGGCCAGTCTGTGGGGAAGAAGCAGTGGCTGGCCAGTGGGACCTTGTGGCTGAGCTGCCGTGCCGTCTCCATGGAAGAAGCTCTGGGCTGTGCCGCCACCAGAGTTCTGCCACTTAGGAGCTGCTTGGCCCAAGGACCGTCTCCTGGGCAACGCTGTGCTCTGCCCAGCAGTTGGGCCTGACCCGGGCTGTGCAGGTGGCCAAGTTCTGCCAGTGTGGCCTGTCCATTCTCTGCAGCGTACCCCTCAGACCTGGACAACTTCCACCCACCTACCTCCCTTCGTCACCCCTACTCTGCACACCCACTTCCAGGACTTGTGTGCCAGGTAACCACTCCCTCCCTAGCCAGGCATTCACTTTGTCCTGTATGGGGCTGGGCTCAAGGCCATGTAGCATGTGTCTGTGTTTATATGTTAGCAGTATCAGGTGGGGAGGCTGCCCCAGCCCCCCCAGGGTCAGGAGCCTCCAAGAGTCATTCATTCACTGAACACCCACCTAGTGTTTTATAAGCACATTGTGTGCTTTGACATGGGGTTCAGTTCTGTTTGAATCTCGGCTGTCATTTACTTGCTGGGTGCCCTTAGCCAAGTCACTTTTCTTTGCTGAACTTCCATTACCTCATCATTAAATGGGGGCAACAATACTTACTTCATGTGGGTTTCTTGGAGGCTCAAAGGAGAAAGGAGATAAAAAGCACTGATCAGGCCAGGTGAGGTGGCTCACGCCTGTAATCCTAGCACTCTGGGAGGCCGAGGCAGGCGGATTGTTTGAGCTCAGGGGTTCGAAACCAGCCTGAGCAAGAGC